TGGTCTGAAGCGGGTAGCCGGAGAGCTCTACAGACAATCATCCATCAGTGTCCGGCCGGACAGGTGGGCAGTCGTTTACTCAGAAGAAAGGTAGGGAGATGGAGTTAGTTTAGTTCTGTATGGGTGTCTGTATAGTAGTATGTAAATCATTTCCAGAGTGTGGCTAACGACTCTGGCAGATCTGACTATAACAGCTTAACTAAAAGGAGAGAACCAAAAGGACACACAGACACGGGAGCGCCCTGAGACAATCTGGCATCCTTCCGCTCCACCGTCCACAAACCTGAGTGTTCGCGTGCGAGCGGCGGGACGACAGCAGACCCCACTTTAAATTAACCACATGCTATTGTTCTGAACGTTTTCCATATGAAATGACAAATGATTCAATGTTTTAATGTTTTAATAAGTGCCTTCAGTTTTTGAGTTCATTGAACTTCTGGTAGGAAGTAATCAGAACAATAATCTGTTTTACATTCTGTAAACTTAATTTTAAATTTAATTAACTCAGTATTTGAAGACAACCAGGTTATTAAATTAAAACACTGAATCAATTTTTTTTTACAGTGAGGCAACATAAATCCTTTTCTTTCTCAGTAGGTTAGTCTAGCTCTTGTGGGCCCACAATATACATGTTCATTGTTCTGTGAATAACTTTTATTCTTATTTTTATTTTGCCAACAAACTCTCGGTGTTAAAATGGGCAGTCCTAATCTCAGGTAGAGCGTACGCAAGCAGTGTCCTCACCTCCCACACAGCTTTACCAAAACCATGTTCCCAGCAGTCTTCCCCTCTCTCTGTTTAAGTTGGAGAAACTTACCAGTAGAAATCAAATGTTGATGAAAAGCTAATGTAGCAAGCATAACTCAGCTAATAAGGATGTCCGTTTGATGGGAGCCTCAATGCCAGCCCGAAAAGAATATAATTCTCCATTTTCTCCCTTTAGACCTCCACTTGAGTAAAAGTATTTGCCTTCAAATGTACATAAGTATCAAAAGTAAAGTACTAAAAGATTAATTATGACTCTGATGTCCTGTTACCATTTTTGTAATGAGACTCGCTTCATTAACTCATTTTAGGTGAAATTACTCCAGTGTCTCTCTTGGTGAACCAGTCTTTTAATAGAAGGTCATTAATTAGTGACGCTGACGTCTATTAAAATTATCATAAGCACAAAACACTGAAGGCAAACAGTTTCCATCAGGTAGAACTGAGTGGCTCTGAAATCACTTTTTACAAACAAGCAAAGTTTCAGTTTAAGATTTATTTGAACTCAGTTACAAGTTTAAGTTTAATAAAAACTTCAAACACAGATTCACAAATGAGTTTCCTTTACTAAACTGCATCTGTAGGTCTCTGTTCATAAACATAAACCAGCCAAAACTAATTTACTATAAAATGAAATGTGTTTGTATAAATTCAGAATAAAGACACGTCAGTCACAACTGCATATGAGTACATATTTCTATATTGTGGTCTATTTACACAAAGTTAGGTTAGTTCATCATTTATGTTGAATAGACTCTCCCAAAGTTTTACGCTGCTGCACTGATGTTGAACCGTGTGCTGCACTGGGTCGGTATGACCAACAGGTCAAAACAAGCTCAAAACTAAGTGACCGCTGTGCCCTGATTGGTGTTCTTGCTTTGCGCTTCTTTCGTTTTGACGTTACGTTTTTTATACACACATAAACCAAAAGGAGCGACAGATTTCTCAGAATGTTGTGGAGTGAAGGTAAAAAGTCACCAAAAATGGAAAAACTTCAGTACAGATACACGAAAAAACTACTTAAGTACAGTAACAGTATATTTAGCTCCTTTGAATAAGTATGGTTCACAATATTTTCTTATTGTTTTACTGGAACTCTATTTTTATTAGTTTGAATGGGATCATATGTGTTATTGTTCAACTAAGAGATTCCTTAAGTGCTGTCATTTATTGTCTCTGATATTCATTGTAAGCATTAGCGAGACTAACAGCAAAACAGTACTGCAGAGTCGCTGGACCTCAGCTGTCAGTGGCGGATATCCCCGGTCATTGCTAAAAAGCATAATAACTCATTTTTGAACGCACTGATGAGGACAAGGATTGTGTAAGCCCATAGAATTTTAAAGAGCAGCCGGACTGACGTTATTGATCTTGTTGAAAATGCGAACTGCTAATCAAGAGTTGATGGTAATGTTTTATGTATATTACAGCCATAAAGGCATGCAGTACAAGTGTATCCCCGCCTGTACACACAGCATTGACTTGAACTGTGCCATGCATATTTCTCCCTCTCCGGAAGGTTGGGACAATTATGCATAAATCAATACTTTCCCTGTTACGGAAATAATGTAAGTAAGTATTATAGTGTGTAAAAAGGCCAGGGGCTGTGCAGAGTCTTTGAAAATGTCAGCCTATGTTTAAAAAAAAACAGCAAATACAGAGACAGGGCTGTAATTGTTGCCAGACATGTCTAGGAGATTTGGCTCACTCATTAATCTGATGAAGGCCATATTAACCTTTCTGGTTAGCCTGTGAATCTTGTCAAAACACAGAATGCATTAGTTTAAAAGGGGGGGCGTTTGACTGGACTTGTCGTGTGTAGTGCAGTGTGGTGCGACTTGAGTCTATGTAAATGGTCCTGTTGAGCTTTGTCAGTTTTAAAGCTGGTAATTTTTTGCTTTTTTATGTAGGGGTAGAGAAATAATGTAGAACAAAATATTTAGCAAATTTTTACTATAATGTCAAAGTCCGTTTTTCTTGTTTTCAGTTTTTTACACCATTTGAAAATCTGTTCTTTACTATGTGAACGTTACAGGATGAGTGGACCCATAGAAATGGTGTAAATAGCTTGAAACCAAAAAAAATTACATTAACTTACATTGAATGATCAATTTTTCTTCTTCTTCTTAACGTTACCATTTTAGAGATGTGGGGTTTTGTTATGACAAATAAGTTTACACATAAGTATATTCTACAATTCACTTATACGTTATATAAATAAATTAAGTAATACTTTATTTGGATGGTCCACTGTAGATTCTTTGTAAATGTTCAGCATATATTTAAGTAACATTCAACTGAATAGTCATTAAAAGCCACTGAACTTGTAGTTGATTGTAATTTAGATGGTTCACTGTAGATGCTTTGTAAATGCTCAGCCTGCCTTTCAGTAACATTCAACTAAATACCCATTAATTTCAACTGAACTTGAAGTTAAATCTATCCCTAAACCCTAAACCTAACCCTAACCTCAACCTCAAGGTAAAACATACATCTACTCCTAACCCTAACCACATGTTGTTGATAATCAACTGAGGATCATCAGAAAGTTTGTTAATGATTTAAGTAGCTGTAGAGCTTCTATAGGGGAGCATCCAAATAAAGTGTGACCATAAATTGTTAATCTTCTTGCTGTTCAAATTAACACTTTAAAAATAAATTAAACAAATTATTAACGCAACAGTTTTTTAATGCCATTCATGTGATTTCCTATGTTGCTCCTTCAAACCATCCGTAGTTCCACACTGAAGGCCATCTGCTCACTCAGTTTGTCACTACGACGGACTCCCTGATTGCAGGCCTCTCGTTCAAATACAGCTTTTGAATTGTAAGTTCAACTGATGACCCTCTTGATAAAACCCCAAGTTTTCCAGCTCCTTGAAACAAGTCATAACATAGTGGTATAAGAGCGAGAGCCTTCAATCGCGGTGAATTGGAACGTGCAGCCACAGTTGCTCTCGCTGGACATAAATGAGAAGTTTATTTTTATGTTCACTCTGTGATGAATATGTTATTGAATTATTAAAGGTAATAAATACATTCTAATTAAGCTTAATTTGTCCACTTGTATAGCTGTAACAAAATACACTGCTTTTTAAATGTACAAAATCTATATTTATGGTCAATTTGAGAGAATAAGACAAATGTGATTAATCACAATTAACTGCAGAAGAATTGCAATCCATCGTCCTTAATTATTTTCATCGTTTGACAGCCCTAAATATTCTATATACACTGATAACTTTGAAAATAGCTTTGAATGATTGGGATTTTTGAGATTTTATTTGGTATTTTGAAAAATTATTTTATATACTGTTAATTCCATACTGTAATTATCTATTTATATCCATTTATATCCAGTTATCTTGCTTAAGATTTATATATAGGGCATTCTAGATAATAAATTCATTATAACTTCGTTCTAGCTGCTTTACTGCTTTCTCAGTCATTTTAGAATCATCTACAGCTCCATTCACTCAGAATAATTAACAGATTTCTTTTACATTCTTCATTTTTTTACAGCTTCCTATGGAATCTGAAATATGTTATTCATTATACATTTATCTGAACCCAAATTGGGTTTGTTGAAAACATTGATTCCAAACTTTTGGATAGTGGTGTATCAGTTAACCCGTTAACAGTAGCGACAGTGGTTTTAAGCCATTGCTTCAAGCAGTGGTTGCATATCATTTTTACCACCTGCATGTTTTAAGGCGAAAGCGATAAACGTCCACCAAGACTCCACACAAACGCCAGTAAATCAGCGGGAGGAATTTGAAATGATCAGGGTTTCAATTATATAGACTCAAGTGCTATTGATTGAAGGTAATTTATGACACGACGCACCGTGATGGGCCTTTGAAGACAACACGTCCATTTCCCATGGAGAGCTTTTATTAGCGGCCCTAGCGGGGCTGAGCTGACAGGCAGAGTGGACTAAATGCACGGAGGATGTGTCACTGTCCAATAATTTACTGTATGAGAGCCCCATTTAAAACATTCCAGTGGCATGCATGGAGCGATGACTATAAATGCACATTTTTCTTTTCCTCCTCACCTGAGCTTCTTCTTTTTCTCCTAGTTTTAGTCCACCTCTGTCCCCTCCTCTCCTGCCTCTCTCTCTCTACCAGTTTTTTCTTTGTTTCAGGCTCGTGCCTCTGCTTTGATGTCTGAGATGTCCTGTGCTGAGCTTTACATCAAAATCCATTTAAAAATCTAAACCTCTGTTCCAACAGCTCCAGCAGGTCTGAAGGCACCGAAGCTGTACCCTCTGAACACGACTGGAATCAAGATTTCCTGGGCAGCCCCTGCTGAGCTGAACGGTCCTCCACCCGTGTACCACGTGGAGAGGACGGACGTGTCCTTCTCTGACGCCCTGGGCCAGGTGGTCAGAGGACGGCGCTTCACTGGAACCGGCTACTTCCGCTTTCCCGGCTCTACACTGCCCGTCGACGCTGACTTCACAGGTATGAGGCCCTGTCCCAAATCAGCAAAACTCAAATCTGGAATATTAGAACTGATGACCATTAATTATAATAATATTTAGTAAATTTTCACACTGGAGATGCACAGTCAGAACCAGCCAAGATCAGAACTGGATTTTTGCTCGGAAGACCCAAGTGGCAAACCGCCAATTAATAATTTTGATTTTGGCTGATCTGTGTTGCAATTATATAGGCAGGTAGGTGCACTCAGACTGAGATGACGCTCTGCACTGTAATCTCATAGTCAATGTGTTGTTTCCAGGGATAAATGAATTGAAAGTAAAAAGTAAAATAGTACTTGCTTGAGAATGTACTTAAGTATCAAAAGTAAAGTATTTTATGAGTTATTATATCTTGTATAAGATTTTTTGAAGAACATGTTATTTAAGAGGTCTGTGTGGCTGCAAACATGAAACATTTGTTAATGTCTGCTGTGGCACAGGTCTGTTTAATAGAACTTGTTCATAAAAAATATAAGAAACGATATAATAACTTTGTTTAAAGTTAAAGTAAAAATAATCTTTTACTTTTGATACTTCAGTACAAAGATTTTGGCTGATCTGTGTTGCAATTTTATAGGCAGGTAGGTGAACTCAGACTGTTTTTGATTACAGCTACTACAGCTACACCAAAATGCTGTAAAATGTAAAACGCTGAAGGTTTTGCTTTATTTGATTCATTTTATACAAATAGTTGGCTGGTTTTCATATATAAATGAAAAAAATCTGTTTTGCCCATTAAGGAGCAAATAGTGTTATTTGTAATGTGACTTTGGACAACAGAAAGTGCTCGAAATGGGCTAGTGTGTTTTATGTGTTCATTTAGGCCACACAGTATGAGCTTCAGGTTTAAAAAGGGCTAATAAAATTTATTAAAAATAAAACAAACAAAATCACGTGACCCGTGCAAATATTATGACACATATTTATATTTGTGTTTAAAATTTTTAAACAAAAAATTGAAACCAAATTGTTACTTTTAAATATGTTAAGCTTGGCAAAAATTGAAAGTGCACTAAAAATGTGTAAAGCTGCTATAATTAAGGATGTTCTCTGGAGAGGATTTGTTAACTTTTTTTATTTAGAAAATTAACAAATGAGTAATGTAACCAGAGACGTTCAAACTTCTGCATACAGCCGTAGTCGCTCCATTTGGGGGTTCAGCGTTTTTTGAAAGAAAAATATTCTAAATCATAGCAAAATGGAAACATGATGATATATCTTATATATGACTTGATATATCGCATCGCACACTCTGAATTGTTTTTCGAGACTCTACAGCTGGCACAACGTGAGTATTTAAAAAAGTGTAAACACATTTTGTTATGTAAGTCTTTATATATACACACATGGGCAGGAAAGTGGACTCGAGTGTCAGTAGAAGATAAAGAACATCTGAAAAGCCCAAAGATGGTCAGTTTTTTTGTTACAGAGCCGCTTTGTACAGTGTGATAATACTCCATCTGTGTGTGGATCAAAAACCAGTTTATGGTTTTTTGTGTGTGTTTGTGTGTGTGTATGTGTGTGTTTGTGTGTGTGTGTGTTTGTGTGTGTTTGTAGGAGAACACTTTTTATTCAGCTCTCACTCCCTGTAACAGCCTGATAAATTAATGACTTCCCCGATTAGACAAAGGGCAATTATACTTTTGTTTACAAACATAATTGGGAAATTGAGTTCCAAATGAATATAGGTTCTGGTTCATCTGCTAATGCAAAAAAAATCCTTAAATCCGTGATCCTGCCATTTGTTTAGATCACCCACAGTTTAATTACGTTTAAGGTTTAGAAGGAATGATTGCTTTAAACCGTCACGTTGGTCAGTTAGCTGTAAAAGTGTATACGAATAGCAGACGTACTTCTTGGTATAATAAGTGGAGCACTGTTGCAGAGTGTTTCTTGCTTATATCTGCCAGTACGAATGCAGACAAGTAGGATCTAGTTCATGTTAATTGTTTTTGGATTTTTATTTATTTTTTGCCTTGTTGGCATTTTGGGTGGATTATTTGTTTCCCAGAGTTTCTGTGCACACAGTAGCAATGAAACCGCGCTTTGAGGGTTAATGGCAGAATTTCACCTTTAAACTGAAGTTGCCTACATCTCCAGTGAGAGAGCTACATACAAAACAGAGCAACTTTTATGTGTATTTCCCCCATTTTTGGGACCAAAAGTGATGATGCTCTGCACTGTAATCTCTTAGTCAATGTGTTGTTTCCAGGGATAAACGAATTGAAAGTAAAAAGTAAAATAGTACTTGCTTGAGAATGTACTTAAGTATCAAAAGTAAAGTATTTTGAGTTATTAAATCTTGTATAAGATTTTTTGAAGAACATGTTATTTAAGAGGTCTGTGTGGCTGCAAACATGAAACATTTGTTAATGTCTCTGTTTAATAGAACTTTTTCACAAAAGATATAAGAAAAGATATAATAACTTTGTTTGAAGTTAAAGTAAAAATAATCTTTTACTTTTGATACTTCAGTACATTCACTAATAAGTACCTTTTTACTCAAGTATAAATATAGATAAAATACTTCTTTACTTTTCCTCAATTTCAGTGTTCAGCTTGGTTCTTTGAAATCCTTTGTGCTGAAGTTTACAGCCATAACAATCAAAATGTTCACTTTTTAATTCAGGGGTGTAGCCACAGATATGATTGGTCACAGGCCTGCCTATCAAATAGAGAAAGAATATTTATTACGCTGTATTTTGAAGAATGGAATGTAATTTGATTTGTGGGTGCTGTCATTGTATTATAGCCAGTCAAATAAAATCACTACATAGCAACCGTTGCTATCCACCATTGGTGCAAACCTGTTCTTTTTAACTTAGTTTTTATTTATTTATTTATTTTTTAAAACTGTATTACAGTGTTCCCATGAAAGAACATTTTCCCTTTCCCAGCTATATCTATACACTCTTCAATCTCAATTATTACACAAATAAGCGACAAAGGGGATCCACTCCAAAATAAAAGTAGCCAAAAACGTAAGAAAATGTTATTAACCAAAGTTAATAATAAGTGAATATCAAGTGAAAACAGAAAATGATTGTTTAAAATAATAAAATAAATAAATAAATAGATCATTTAAAAAATGGTGCAGGCCTGTTCTGTTCATTATTGAGGCTCTAGTGTTTGAATTCGAAGCTCTAGAGAATATCATTTTCCACCCATCCAGTACCAAAAACAATGTCATCAATGTCATTGTTGTCAGTTTTCAGTTGTCAGTGAATTTGGTACTTACGCTGCTCTTTTACAGCAGAAGCTGACATAAGCTTTGTGAAAGTCAAAGCAGTTGTCTAACATTAATGCATCAAGTCATCACAGATAAGATATAGATGGTCCATCAACATTGTTAATGTGAGTTGTGGCAGGTTTAGGTTTTAAGTTTGATGGGTTTTCTCCTTCTTTTTGTACATCTCTGCGACCTTCCGGGCCAAAGTGCTGTGCAGATTAGCATGTACCCTCCTCTAACGCTCTGAATTCAGTTCATGAAAGTCTTGCTAATTAGCTGATGAGCTGAATCAGGTGTTTAAGGCAGTGTGCTTAGGTCTGCAGTGTTTTGGCCTGCGAGGACTGGAGCCTGACACTGCTTTATAGTGAAGGGTGTTGCAGTGTTGGTTGTGTTTATGTGAATCCTGCATTCTGGTTGATTAAGTATTGTTTTGAGCATAGAACATAGAAGTGATGGAATAGTTAGGGTGATGACTGTATGGCAGTCGGGAAGTGTGCCCCTGGAATACCACTGCCCTGCTTCAACACTCCTGATCCAACTAATCAGTGAATTAATGAGCCATTCCTGTGTTGAAGTGGTGTGGTAGAGCAGAACAAACACCAAACAAGGGGATGAAGGGATACTCCAAGACCAGGGTTGGGAACCTATGGAATAAGCCTGATGTTGTGACATTGCGAGACATGGTTCATTTGGACGTTATCAACCAAGTTGACCTACCTTTTTAACAAAAATATACATACATACAAACATACATCATCTAAACCGCTTATCCTTCTGGGTCGTGGTGGGGTGCTGGAGCCTATCTCAGCTGTCATTGGGCGGAAGGCAGGATACACCCTGGACAGGTCGCCAGTCCATCACAGGGACAAAAATATATTCATGCCTAAATTACTGCTTTAATTACGTATAAATTGCACTGTACCAGTAAGTATATTGAATTAGGCATTAATGGTGCCCGCAAAGAACATTTTGCATTGCACTGAAACCCTCCAACCTTTCCTTTGTTTAGTTACACAGAGACGATGTTCGACACTGGCAGAGACGTTGCTTCCGTCACCCCAGTGCAGCAGTGTTGACCCCTTTTCTCTGCTTCTTTTTCAGTACAGCAGCCTAAACCAACATCACACAATGCCGTAGCGAGTCCTTCCGTGTTTCCACATGTCTTCTAGATATCGTACAAATCGCACTTTATTTGTATTAAAAAAGAGGCAATTAGGAGATCCTGCCTCAGAAGTCAGGGACACTAAATTGCCTCCTTAAGAAGCGTGCATAGAAATGAGTGACCCTCTCTGACCTTGCAATTTCAGGAAATGAATGGCCATTTCCTTAGCCCCCCCTGCCACCCACCCACCCCCAAAACTCTATTAACATTTAGCACTGCAGTTTCCAGTTTTTTCCTTAAATAATGACAAACGGATAAATCTTTATAAATCAAGCCCAGAGTTGAGTTCAGCTGACTCTCTAATTGATCAATGGCTGTAGTCAAAGTGGAGAGCTCGTCCTTGGGCCTGCTGGCATTATAAATGGCCGCCGACTAATGAGGGAGCCCGAAGAACAAACCGGAACAGCGGCAACACCCCCCGTTTGGCCCACATCTTTAGCCGCTCCGCTCCTTTAAAATCGGACGCTCTACTTTTCGCCTGGCGACAGGGCCGGTCCACTCCGCACTTGTGAGTCCTCACCCTTTCGACGTCAGTCTCAGAGCAAACGTATTGCGCGGCGGGGCGGGGAAAACATAAAGATTTCCCTGT